TCCCAGGTCGAAGGCCTACGGCCCCCCGCCCCCCCGCCCCTGATGGGATGGACCCCACGGTTCCACGGGCCCGCAGTCCTGTCAGTCAGTGACACTGTCCGCAACGTAATGCACCAATCAATCAATGACGTTCTTTGCCGACAAGCAAACCTGGGTTACGCACGATATACACAGGCTACGTGCGATGAACAACTTGATCTGAACTGGCTCGAATAAAGATGGACAATCCCGCCGGCAAATGCACCATCCCGACGGACAAATGCACCATCCCAACGGTACACGCACCATCCCGACCGAAAACGCACTAGTTTGTCTTGGACTTGCTAAGTCCTGCGATGAGACTTGTAATTCGCTTATCACACCAAGAAGAGTTATCAATAACTTATAAAAGACTTAGTAGCGAGCTGCTTGAGACTTACAAGTTCATCAGAATATGAGCAAGTCCCATGCCTATCCTAGCAGCGCTCGCATGCGCCCACCGCACCCATTTTGGCACACCCCTCACACGTTACATGGCCCCACAAGGATCTCCACCGAAGGCCCATATTCCAGCGCTCGCATGCGCCCACCGCACCAATGTTGGCACACCCCTCACACATTTTGTGGCCCCATAAGGATCTCCACCGAAGGCCCAAATGCCAGCGCTCACATGCGCCCGCCGCACCAATTTTAGCACACCCCTCACACACTTCGTGGCCCCATAGGGAGCCCCACCAACGGCCCACGTGCCAGCGCTCGCATGCGCCCACCGCACCCATTATGGCACTCTCCTCACACATTTCGTGGCCACATAGAGAGCTCCACCGAAGGCCACATGCCGGCGCTCGCATGCGCCCGCCGCACCCGTTTTGGCACACCCCTCACACGCTTCGTGGTCTCAGAAGGAGCTCCACCAACAGCCCACATCCAAGCGATTGCATGCGCCCATTTTGGCACACCCCTCGCACGTTTCGTGGCCACATAGAGAACTCCACCGAATGCGGTGCACACAGCGACGGCACCCACAACTGCACATGGTTGGGTCCTTCGCCAGGTTAATTTGCATGACCCGCACAGTGGACACATACGATGAGACACCTTGATGCAAGAAGTGCAGGGACGCTTGCTGTCGAGGTCTGAGCTTCCCGAGGTGCCCCAGGGCTGCCGTGGGTCCGCAAAGCCATCGGGGGATTGGAAGCTTCCGTGGAGCACCTGCTGGCATGCTGGCTTCTAGTTTGAGCTGCCTATACAGACAACGCATATAAGAAGGACGCACGACACGGATGCAGAGGCCTTGGAAGACCATGTCGACACTTTTCGAGCGGGGCGCGGCCCGCGAAAGTGGCAAAGGATGGGCCAAATGATGCAAGGGCAAACTTGGAAAGCCGCTCATGCTTACTATGCGTTTTGACTGTGCTGCAAATTGATCCCCCCCTCCCAATCCACAGGAGGGCGCAAGCTGCACATGTAGACTGACACTCGCCTTGCTCATCCTGGGCACAGTGTCGGTGTAGACGCCCTCCTGGCTGGGCCAGGGAGGCATGTGCACCGATCCTGGGCCCAGGATGGGCCTGGCCAGGGTCGGTGTATATGTGTATAGCTCTCGTCGTCCGATGTCCAGCCACTGCGGGTCTGTCTCAGAACAGGAGGACCTCATGGAACAGCTCTGAAGCGGGGTGCCCTGCAAGCCAGGTGGACACTGCAGGGATAGCTCAACTGGAATGCCTGCGGACATCGCTCGACGCGGAGATCCCCAGATGTGCATCTCTTGTCTGACGTGCTCCCCGACGCGTGAATGCCGGGTTGTGAACGAGGCTGGGCGACTGAGCACGAGTGGGTCTGACTGTAAGCTAGTTTTGGCATGAATGGGCCATGAGGCCCTCGATGCACCGCTGGTCGGCTCCCCCTTGGGTGGCCCAAACGCAATCTGAGATTCGTCAGTGAGACGCAGCAGCCTCCCGAACAAGCATTTCGCTCGAGGGCTTCCCACAATCTGGGCGCGAACGGGCCCGTGCAATACCCCCTGGCGGCTCCCCCTTGGGTGGCCCAAGTGCCATGTGCTGTACATCGCGGCGAGCCTGGGGCTCTGACAAGAGGCGTCTACCTGCGCTACATCGCGGTGGTCATGGGGACCAGACAGCGTCTACATCCCCCCAAAAGCGTTTCGCTCGAAGCATCCCCGCAGTCTGGGCGCGAACTGGCCTGTGCACTACGCCCTGGCGGATCCCCTTTGAGTGGCCCAGCTGCCATGTCAGCTACGTCGCGGTGACTGTGGGGCTCTGCGCGTCTACGTCCCCAAACAAGCGTTTCGCTCGAGACATACACGCAATCTTGGCGCGGACGCATCTGTGCAATACCTCTTGGTTCTTCCATTTTGGGTGGTCCAAATGCCATGCCTACTACTTCGCGGTGATCATAGGGTGTATATATATATAAATATATACTTACAGATCGACGTCCAAAAGCAATCGTTTCGCTTGAGACATCGCTACGATCTGGGCGCGAATAAGTCCACGCAAATCCCCCTAGCCTCCCACCTGTGGGGTGGCCAGGTACGATGCCTGCGACATCGCGGTGGTCATGCGGCTCTGAAGGGAGACGCGTCCAGGTACAAAGACAAGCGTTTCGTTGGACCCATCCTAACAATCTGGGCACGAAGTGGGGGTGCCCAAGTGCCAGGTCTGCTACATTGCAGAGGTGATGTGGGTCTGCGTATGAACACTGATAACTAGTTGTATCAGGGTTTGATCACGAATGATTCTGAGCGCGAGCGAGTAGGTCTAGGCCTGCGTCGCGTGACTTAGCGCGGATGTGTTTGCGTATGAGTGTTTCTAGGCACGTATGGCGACCATCAAATGGCAAGAGTGTGAGCGGTCTGAATATTGCTTTCGAATCTGCGTTAGGTAACGAGGATGGAATCCGCCACCGTGCCCCCTGGCACGTTGAAGCGTGGAAGAGCCTTTCCGGACAAGAACGGGAAGCGCCGCTTTTTGGTCGTACGGTTAGTCGGGCGGAGGTCGATGACAGTGTGCAGGACGTGGAGCACCGCGAGGGAAAGCAAAAGGACCATGAGGGAGATGGTAAGCACAACGACGTGGATCAAGATTGTTGGGAAGACGAGAGCGAGGAAGGAGAAGGACTGAGGAGAGAGGACGAGAATGACGACGCTCACGACGACGACGACGATGCTGGAGGCAGCGGACGCCGGCTGACGACGTCCCGCTGGCCTCGGCGTCGCCGTCCGCCGCCGCCCTGGCGGCCCGGCGCACGGGCGCCCCGCGGCTGGCGGCCAGGTCCTGCGGGGAGGAGGGTCGGCGTCCTTGTCGAGGATCGAGGGCCGTCGAGGATCGCGGTGAGAGGGATCTTCGAGGATCGAAGATCCAAGATCCAGGTAGTTTGTCTAGGATCCGGGTTTCAGGATCGAGCATCCAGGATCGAGGACCGTCGAGGATCGTCCAGAATCCTGGATCCAGGATCGAGGATCCAGGATCGTCGGGGAACGAGGATCCAGGATCGATGCAGGTTTTCGGATTTTTCGTCGGGGGCGGATCTGGAGGCCTCCCAGATAGGATTCAAGTAGATGGGGTTGGAGAATCGCCCCGCATTGCCGTTGCATCGCCGATGCACCGACGATGCACCGGCGACATCGGCGGTGCACCCACGACGCCAGCGTGGAGAAAGTCGGGCTGCACATCGAGTTCTATCCCCGATGCATCGGGGATGTGGCGCGATCCACCGACCCAATTTACTCGGACCCCATTTGAATGGCCCAGAGGATCTAGGATCGTCGAACCTCTGAAATAGGCATTCTCGCCGAGCATCGAAGATATTTTGAACGTGTTGCTGTGCTGCTTCTTCATGTTTTCTTCAACCCAGACATGCAGCACATCGGAACAAAAATGGTGGTTGGCATCTGGAGAGGCGGGTCTCGAGAGCCTCGGGGCCGCTTAATAAAAAATGCCTCGGATGACAAGCTGGCCCTGGCTAGGGAAGTGGCCGAGGTCCTCGACCACTTCTCTAGCCAGGGCCAACTTTGGGTTCTCCTTGGCTCCTTGGATTCTCCGCCGAAGACGGACGACGACGCCGCCGCCGACGACGAGGGGCAGGAGTTGGAGGGGGAGGAGCAGAAGAAGAGCAGCTGCAAGAGCAAAAGGAGGGAGGACGAAGAGGAGGGACGAGGAGGAGGAGGAGGAGGAAGGTAATTATTGATAGCAGGATGCCGTAACGGTGGAATGGTGCCATGGGAGCAAAGGAGGCCAGGATGGACGAGAAGGTTGAAGAGAAAAAACACTGGCACACCCGAACGAGCACTGGCACACCCCGAGCTCAGCTGGCTGCAGACTTCTGCCGCCTGGCAAGATCGAGGTCATCGGCAAACCTTTGTCTGGGGATCCACCACGGGCGGATCTGCTCCACCGTGCTGCTTTGCTTTATGCCCCCCTCTCGCCTCGGGAGCACGGAGCCGCGCTAATGGACGAGCCAGGTCGTGCGCACCAGGCGAGCTTGTAGACGCCATCCTGCGCGGGCCGCGTGGGCGCCGACGACGCTCTCGACTGCCTGGTGCCAGGCGTTGTCCTGCTCCTGCTGCGGCTCGCCCACAGGGCCCGCCCGAACCCCGTGCTTGTTTCGTTGTTTTACATCTGCAGCCGCAGAAAATTTGCGGCCAGGGGCTTGTCAGTAGAGCAGACACTGCGGAGTAGTCGACGTCGGCTCGATGAGGTCGCAGTGCTGCGGCGCGAAGGACACCCAGAGGCCCTTGGTCCTCGCCTCTCGGGAAGACGTGAGACTCGAGTTTGGGGGACTCGAGTTGGCCTGATGGGGCCATTCAGACAAATGACGGCACCCAACCTGACATTTGACGCGAACTCCCGCTGCAACCATCCCACGAAGAATGGACCGTCAAAACTCAGGACGGGGCCCGCCACAGATCGCCGGCACTCCCGAGCTCCGGCGAACCAGCGTCTCACGTTTCCCCGAGCCTCCTGGTCTGCTGCTGCTGAACGACAAGGTCCTGGCGCTCGTCAGCAGAGCAGGCCCCGCGGGGTAGTCGACGTCGGCTCGATGGGGTCGTAGTGCTGCGCCGCGAAGGACATCCAGACGACTCTGGGCCTCGCCGTGGGCGACGAGATGCTGAGGTAGGGCCTCGACGGATCGGCCCCGCCGCCCGCGTGCCCGAAGGCGTCGGCTGTCAGGAGGCGCACGTCCAGGCCGTGCAGGGCGGCCGCCGCCTGCAGCGTCAGGTGGTCGCCCCAGGCCCGGTCCCGGGACATCCTGCCGAGGTAGGCGTCGTAGGTGGCCGGCTGCCCCGGGTGCGAGGGCGCGTAGAAGACCTCGAAGTCGTCGCGGCCGGGGCCCCGCATGTGCCGGACGACCTCCGCCCGCAGCTCCGCGTGCCTGCGGGTGGTCCTGTAGAGGCCCCAGGACAGCGAGTAGAACTGGCAGTTGCCGTCTCCGATGGCGCCGCGATGGCCTCCCTCGGTCGTGCAGAAGACGAAGCCGAAGTGCTGCATCATGTCCTCAAGGCGGCCCCTCTGGGGGTCGACCTGGGCCGGCAGTGGGTGGTGGTCCTTGCGCTTCGCCATGTACTTCAGGAACTCGTTCATGCAGATCGTTTGGTTCTGGTCTACGTCCACGGCGTCGAACAACTGGGAGATGTCGTCGCGAGACATGTCGAAGAACTCCGGTAAACCGCTCACGCTCTCGAATTCCTTTCGGCTGAGCACCTGGTCGCCGTTTGTGTCGAGGGCAACGAACTGCGTGACGATGTGATCGTACTTCTCCTGTGATATGCCAGCTTGCACCCAGGGCGCATCGGCCAATTCAAACACCTTGTCCAACACAAAGGGAACGTAGTAGTGGTCCGGAGAAACCAGGAGCGTGTACAAGCGACTCACTGTAATTCCTGCGCCCCCCGCGTCCACCCATTCTTGCTGCAGGTCCCTTTCGGTGACACGGTCACCTAACATCGTACGCATGACCTTCACGAAAGACTCCCAGTTCAAGCGCCCGGAGCTTGGGCAACGCACAAATTCGTTCAACCTCTTATAGCGCTGGCCCTCCACTGTGTCTCCGATGACGATCTCGTCAAACATGGAAGGTGCTTCCTCGGATATACATCTCGACCCAACTGCCCCCGCCGCCGCCGTTTCGACGTGGGCGGCACTGGCCCCGCTGGCCTGGCAAGCGCGGCGACGGGCCCTACTAGAAGTCGGGACTGGCTTCCCGGGGGTGACCATGGACACAGCCTGGCAGGCCTCGATTTAAATAGTGCTTTCCGTCTTCGTGTTGCTTTCGCTTTCCCTCGCTGTCTTCCTCCCGCCTCCGCTGCAACACAACATCAGACCGAAGACGGCCCACGAAGTCGGACAAAAACACTGTCTAGCTCGAGCCCTGCAGCCTGGCGCCGCACGAACAGCCCGTGGCCTGGCATGCACTCGAAGTACCTGGTACCATTCACGGAGCCGTCGTTCCTACCCTCTGGTCTGCCGAGCTCCACGCCCACCCAGTCGCCGCCCGCGAAGCCCGTCTCTTCGGAGGAAGGCCCGCTGAGACTACAGGGTAGTTTTAAATACATAGGATGTTTTAAAACATCGGATTTTTCATACATGACTAATTTTTGAATGCATTTATGCGTGACTCATGGTTGTTTCTAATACTCAATCCCTGCATGTTTCATACATGATCCGCACGCGGAGCATACATTAAAAACGGCACTGTACGGCGGCTCCCCCGCCAGGCACAGATCCGCCAAACCTGCGCCCAAGACCCAAGACCCCTACCGGGGCCCATCCCCCAGATCACCCGCGACCAGAAATTTTCCGTAACGGATTTCGGCCGCGCCAAGTTTCGGTCGCGACTGGAGGGGTCGAAGTTCGGCAACAACGAAGAGGCGGCGCGTCGGGGTTCCCAGCGAGGGCTTCGAACACATCGACGACCCGCTCGTTACCAGGATTCGCGACCGGAGGCCGATTTTTGCGCTCGCGACCGAGAGCCCGAATTCCGGTCGCGACCAGCCCCAAGAGGGCCCGCCGAGACCCCACGATGGCCCAAACGTTGGCCAATGATCCCAACAACATGCACAGAGTAGCACAAGCCGCCCAGAGGAAAGGCTGAATGATGGGGAACAGCAGGGGGCGACTGGCTCGGGAGGGGGAACATCGACATGACATCGGCGATGCATCGCCGATAGATCGGCGATAACTCGGCCCCCGATATCGAAGCCGAACGTCCCTGGGCGGAGCAGGCTATCAGGCCCCTATCGGCGATGAATGTGCGATTGGGGGTCGACATTCTCGGTAATGGATGATCTGGGCGCTCAACACCCGCCCCGGGGCCCCTCCCGGGGTCCACCCCGACCCGGCTTTCGCAGCGGCTCTGGCCGCGGCACCGCGAGAAGCGCCTCCGAGGGACGCCCATGGAGGGCGAGCAGAACGCCGGGGAGGGCCGCCGCGGTCTCCACGGGCCTTCCTCCGACTCTGGCCCACGAACCGCACCACGGCCGTGCGGCCCCGCTTGCCCTCGGGCGCGGGCACGGGCGCACGGACGAGGTCCCCGACGCGGATCTCGGGGCCCGCCGCGGGAGGCGAGCCCGGCCTCGCTGCCCCGCCGGCGGGCAGCATCGCGCCGGCAGCACCACCCCGGGGGGCAGCGCCGGGGGCGCTCGCGCCTCGGCAGCGTGGCGTGCGGGCCGCGGGGGCGGGGGCGAGGGTTGCCGAGCGGAGGCCGCCGTGCGGTCATTCGAGGGCCGGGGGCGATGCACCCTGAGCCGGGGTCGCGCTGGAGCCAAGGCGGCTGCGGAGGAGGAGGGGGGGGCGGCGGAGGAAGGACACGAGGAGGGGAAGGGGGGGGCGCGGAGGAGGGGGAGGGAAGGAGTCATCCCACCAACCCCCTGGGAATCCAGCGGATCAGCCCAACACCTTCTTGCCCTTCTGGCGAGCGGTTTGTCCCTCCTCCTCCTCCTCCTCCTCCTCCTCCTCCTCCTCCTCCTCCTCCTCCTCCCCCTCCTCGGTGGTCTGGACGGGGAGGGGGCACGGGGGGGCAGAGGGTCCCTTTGAGCCCAATATGGCTCCAAGATGGCTCTAGGTAGCTGGAGATGGCCTCCGATATGGGGCTCAGTGGAGGCCCCTCAGCAGCACGCGCTAGGGGGTCGCGGGGAGGGTGGCACATGGTGGCACCATGAATCTCCGGAGGCGTAATTCCAGACCCTCGGCCGTAGGGGCGGCGAAGGCCGCCGCAGGATGTAGCCTTGGAATGAATGTTCGATGCCCCTGGTGTTATTATCGATTGCACCGACACTCCTGATTGATTCTGGAGGGGGGTACTACCGAAATGACGCCCGCCGTGATGGGTTAGCACACCAAGCGAATTCATTGATTCCCGATTGGGGGGGATCGTGGCCCTGGGGGTGCCCAACACACAATTCTTTCCCATGGATCGTAACCCTGGGAGCGCGGGCGCCGTGCAATTTTCAGGGATCGTGTCCTGGGAGCGCGGGCGCAGCGCAATTTACGAATGATGCTTCCGCAACCTACAGGAGTACGCATGAATCAGAAATCCTTCAGGAATTATTTTGGATTCCTCCAGAAACTTCAAAACTACCGCAGAATCTGAAGGGGGGCACAGGAAGCCCTGAGGACATCTAGAGGAACCCTCAGGAATCCTCACACGTCCCCTAGGAGTCGGCAGCAGACCTGCAAGAATCCTCAATAATCCTTCGGGAGCCCCACAGTTATCCGCAGGAATCTGTAGGAATATGGAGAACTCCTTTGGAACCCTACTAAATCCGACGGATCTCTCAGGGCCGCGGACACAATATCATTTGCACTTGATCCTGGCCCTGGAAGCGCGGACACAACGGAATTCACTAGGGATCCTGGCCACGGGCGCGCGGGCAAAATATCATGTTTGAGAAATCGTGACCCTGGGAGCGCGCAGGCACAATTATTTCCCATGGATCGTGGCCCTGGGAGTGCGGGCGCCGCGCAATTTGCAAGGATCGTGTCCTGGGAGCGTGTCCTTCAGCCACCTGCAAGAATTCCGTCAGGAATCCTTTCAGAAATCCTTCAAGAACGATCTTGGGCTCGCCCAGAAACTTCAACAATCCTTCTGAATCTGCAGGGGCCCACAGGAAGCCTTGAGGATATCTTGAGGAACCCCGGGAATCCTCACACATCATCATGAGTCGGCAGCAAACCTGCAGGATCCTGAGGAGTCCTGCGAAAACCCCGCAGGTATCCGCAGGAACCTGTAGGAATCTTGAGGACTCCTTCTTGGAGCCCTACATCATCCGACGATCTCTCAGGGTCAAGAGCACAATATCCTTTACGATTGATCCTGGCCCTGTGAGCGCGGGCACAGTGTAATTTACCGGTGACCCTGGCCATGGGAGCGCGGACGAAGCGTAATTTACAACGGATCGTGGCCCTGGGAGTGCGCAATCACTCTTATTTCCCATGGATCGTGGCCCTGGGGGCACGGGCGACGTGCAATCTGCAATCATCATGTCATGGGAGCGCGGACGCAGCGCAATTTACGAGGAGTCCTTCAGCAACCCGCAGGAATCCGCCGACCCTGTTGGCGTGTGGAATGGGTTGTTCTTCTCGTCCGTGCCTCCTTCCCTTTCCCACCTTCTCCGTCTCCTTCTCGTTCGTCTCCCCCTCCTCCTCCTCCTCCTCCTCCTCCTCCTCCTCCTCCTCTTTCATCTCTTCCTCCTGCGTAAAATAAATTGACTCGAAGGGTTTCCCCTTCCCTCTGTTCCCTTCCCCGGCCGGGGGGGCGTCCCGGGGGAAGCCCCGGGGGGGTCCCCGGGGGGGGGCCGGGGGGGGTCCCGGGTCAGAATCCCACCTCCCTCCTCCTCCTCCTGAGCGTCTTTTGCCACCTTCTCGATCTCCTTTTCGTTTGTCTCCCCCTCCTCCTGGGGAGGGGTCCTGGGGGGGTCCCATGGTCCTGGGGGGGGTCCCGGGGAGGGTCCTGGGGGGGGTCCCAAGTCAGAATACCACCTCCCTCCTCCTCCTCCTGAGCGTCTTTCTTTTCCCCTTGTCTCCCTCCTCCTCCCCTCCCTCCTCCTCTCCTCCTCCTCCTCCTCCTCCTCACCTCCCCCTCCTCCTCCTCCTCCTCCTCCTCCTCCTCCTCCTCCTCCTCCTCCTCCTCCTTCTCCTCCTCACACACTTCCTCCGCCTACCCTGTCACGTTGTCCTTTGGCATCTTCCTGTGATCACACATCCCGTCGCCATCGACGGCCAAAACCTTCAGGGTCGGCGGCACCAGCCGTAAGGCCTTCACAATATTTTCAGGAATCCTTGAGGAATCCTTCTGGACTCCTCCAGCAGAGACTTTAGGAATCCTTTAGAATCGAATGCCCGCAAGATGCCCTGAGGAAATCTTGAGGCACCCTCCAAACTCTTGCAAACTTTGAAGACGAATGTGCGCGACGCTAAAGCGATAACCACATTCTGGAACAAATACCTGCCCTCCACCCGCGAAACTCTTGCGAACTTGGAAGGCGAAAATGTATTATGGCGACTACCAAATCCTGAAGCGGACCCGCTCTCCATCCGAGAAATTGCTGCACACTTTTAAAACGAATGTGCGCGGCGCTGAGGCGAGAGCCACATGTTCGCTGGAAGAGAGGGAGGGGGGATCACTTCCAAGGGCGGCCCACCCTGGGAAGGAGAAGCGGTTGCAAGCCGGCCGCCGACGCGGGCAGACTGTCGCCGACGAGGGCGGAGCCCCAACAGCTCGGGCCCCCAGACCGTGTGGACCTCGGATCCCCAACGACCTCACCGCACGGTCCGTCACGGCACGGCTTTGGGACCTCGGAGGCCCCAGTCGCTCGAGACATCCAGAGAGAACGACCCTAGTCACAAAACCGCGAGGTGACCCCGAATCCCCACTGACTCACCGCGCGGTGTGGTCACCACACCGGGGCCCCCCAAACAGAGCCCCCACCCCTGACGGGCCCTGCCAGGGACACTACCCGGGCCAGTCGCCAGCGGAGGGCTGGCCGGACCCGGCGCGCGCCGCCGGGGACGCCGTCCATCGGGGCCCTGGAAAGAGGGACTTTGATACATTCAAAATCCATCGTAATGATGCAAGATACGGCCGCAAGGCCCTTGGATATCTAATTTGGACGTCTATGGACGTCTCTCACGGAGGGTCGAACATGCAAGGATTCAAGGGTAGCCTTGCATTGCGCTGCGTCCTCACTATGGTCTTCGACTGTATACCAGGGCGTTGGCGCACCCTAGAAGGCTGCAGCCGCGAGCCCAGATAAGCAGTCTCCATCCTCCTCGCTCTCTCTGGCTTCCATCTGCAACCGTCCTGGCTTGCAGTCTTCTGGTTTTCGGGGTCCTGCTTCCACAAAGGCCCCCTACACATGGACATTGCCCCGGGCAGAGACAGTCTCCATCCTCCTTGCTATCTCCGGCTGGCATCTGCAAACGTCCTGGCTTGCAGTGTCCTGGCTTATGCGGCCCTGAGGCCCTCATTGCCCCCGGAAGCGGGGACTTTGATACGCCGCCAGGACATTGGCGCACCCCAGAAACAGCTGCAGCCGCGGGCCGGGTCAATTTCCGCCCTCCTCGCTCTCTCCGACTGTTGACGGCGAGCGAGGGGGGGAAGTGAGAAGGGGCGGGCCTCCTCAGAAGGCTCGGGAGCCCCCTGGCCCTCTGAGACATTTTCGGAGCCTTCCCCGAAGGCGCAGAGAACTTCTCAGAGGGCGCGAGGGCTTCTGAGAAGTCCCGCCGCCCTCCGAGAATGAACGGGCCCCAGGACACACAAAGAAATACACACAAATAAAGATGTTCCCCATCTTTTCCCATATGTTCTGGGTTTTTGTCTCCCAGCCCACTTCCCATATTTTTTCCCATATTTTCCTGGGAATCGACGATGAATTGTGTCTGTGTGTTTTTGTTCCCTCCTGAGAGAAGGCCTTCTCCTCCTCATTTCCCCCCTCTCCGCTCGCCGCCCGGCTGCGGCCGCCGCGGGCCGAGCCCGTCTCCGCCCCCCGCGCTCCCCCTCCGCCTCGCATCTGCAGGCGCCCTGGCCTGTCTTGTCCTGGCTCCTCCGGGGGCCCGCAGAGTCCAGGATTGGGCGTGGCTTAATGGGGGGGTCACAAATGGGGGGGTCAGAAACGGTCCCCTTTCGTGCCCCTTTCGGGCCCCTCCAGAGCCTCAAGGGGCTCGTTTAGGTACCATTTGGGTACCTTTCCGGACCACCCTCGCCACCCCCCCATTTATGACCTCCCCATTACGCAGCGCCCAAGTCCAGGGAGCCGGCGGATCGCCGGCTGGACGGCCGTGTGGCGGCATCATCTGGACGGTCGCGCCCTGACACCCGACGTCACAGTCGGGCCGCTGCCGTAAGGAACCCAGAGTAAGGAACGAGGCCACCCCCTTTCCCCCGGGTCAAACTTCGACTTCCCATGGAATGCCTAAGGGAAACCTGAGACAACCAATTGGCCTGGCGAAAGACCCAGCCATATGCAGCTGCCAGAACCGCGAGGGAGGTGAGACGAAGGAGGGGGGCACGCAAACCCGAATAGCGCACGTGGTATACCCTCTGCTCTCATAGACAGCGGAAGGGCAGTGCGGTCAGGGGGGGACGAATGGGTGAGACGTATGCGAACTTTCGGTGGAGCTCCCCATGGGCCACGAAGCGTGTGAGGGGTGTACTAGAATGGGCGGGGGGATGGGGCGCATGCGAGCGTCGCCGCTGGGGCCTTCGGTGGAGCTCCCTATGGGGCTCCGAAGCGTGTGATATGGTGTGCCGACATGAAACGGTCGGACGCATGCGAACGTCGCCACTGGGCCATAGGTCGAACTCCCGATGGGGGGGGCACGAACGTGAGAAGGGTGTGCCGAAATGGGTCGTATGGACGTATGTGGCCGTGCCCGCTGGGGCCTCAGGTGGAGCTCCCTATTAGGGCAGTGCGCCCACATGAGTGTGGCAGACGCATGTGGCCACCAGACTGGGGCCTCAGATGGAGCTCCCTATGGGGCCACGAAATGCTGTACTGGGTGTGGCGGACGCATGGGGCCACCCTCACGTGGGCCTTTGGTGGAGCTCCCTATGGGGACACGAAGCGCAGTAGTGGGTGTGGCGGTAGAGCTCCCGATGGGGCCACGAAGCGCCGTACTGGGTGTGGCGGACGCAGGTGGGCACTCCCACTACGGCCTTCGATGGAGCTCCCTTTGGGGCCACGAAGCGCTGTACTGGGTGTGGAGGGCGCATGTGGCCACCCTCACTTGGGCCTTCGGTGGGGCCCACTATGGGGCCAGGAAGCGCTGTAGTGGGGGTGGTGGTGGAGCTCCCTGTGGAGCCACGGCGCGCTGTAGTGGGTGTGGCGGGCGCATGCGAGTACCCCCTCTGGGACTTTCGGTGGAGCTCCCCATGGAGCCACGAAGCGCTGTTCTAGGTCGGGCGGGCGCATGCGGGCACCCCTACTAAGGCCTTCGGTGGAGCTCCGTTTGGGGCCACGATGCGCTATACTGGGTATGGCGGGCGCATGCGGGAAACCCCACTTGGGCCTTCGGTGGAGCTCCATCCGGGGACACGAAAGGCTGTACTGGGTCTTCGTGGAGCTGCCTATGGGCCACGAAACGCTGTACTGGGTGTGGCGGACGCATGCGGGCACCCCCACTGGGGCCTTCGGTGGAGCTCCTACAGAGCCACGCAGCGCTGTACTGGGTGGGGCGGGCGCATGCGGGCACCCCCACTGGGGCCTTCGGTGGAGTTCCAATGGGTGACACGAAACGCTTTACTGTGTGTTTGTGTGTGCGTGTGTGTGGCGACTGCATGCGGGCACCCCCACTCGGGCCTACGACGCGCTGTACTGGGTGTGGCGGACGCATGCGGGCACCCCCACTGGAGCTTTGTGGAGCTCCCTATGGGGCCACGGCGCGCTGTAGTGGGTGTGGCGGGCGCATGCGGACACCCCCACCAGGGCCTTCGATGGAGCCTTCTGCGAGGACACGAAACGCTGTAGTGGGTGTGGCGGACGCGTGCGGGAAACCCCACTGGGGCCTTCGGTGGAGCTCCATTCGGGGCCACGAATCGCTATACTTGGTGTGGCGGGCGCATGCGGACACCCCCACTGGGGCCTTCGGTGGATCTCCCCATGGTGCAACGAAGCGCTGAACTGGGTGTGGCGGACGCAGCTTGACACTCCCACTAGGGCCTTCGGTGGAGCTCCCTATGGGGCCACGAAACGCTGTAGTGGGCGTGGCGGACGCATGCGGGCACCCCCACTGGGGCCTTCGGTGGAGCTCTCTATGGGGACACGAAGCGCTGTCCTGGGTGTGGCGGACGCAGGTGGGCACCTCCTCCGGGGCCTTCGTGGAGCTGCCAATGGGCCACGAAACGCTGTACTGGGTGTGGCGGACGCATGCGGGCACCCCCACTGGGCCCTTTGGCGGAGCCTCCTATGGGGCCACGAAGCGCTGTAGTGGGTGTGGCGGGCGCAGGTGGGCACCTCCACTGGGTCCTTCGGTGGAGCTCCCTATGGGGCCACGAAACGTGAGAGGGTTAAGTCGCAGCGGTGAGCAGAGGCGAGCAGAGGCAGGGACATGCGGTGAGCAGAGGCAGGGATCGGAGGACGGAGGGGGAGGAGGGGGAGGAGGAGGAGGAGGAGGAGGAGGAGGAGGAGGAGGAGGAGGAGGAGGAGGAGGAGGAGGAGGAGGAGGAGGAGGGAGGAGGAGGCGGAGGAGGAGGAGGAGAGGAGGAAGGAAGAAAGGGAGGAAGGCAGAAAGCAAGGAAGGCACGTGGGGCGCTGTCTGTTTAAACGAGGACCCAACACCACAGGATGGTTAGAGATGAATGAACACTGAGGAGCCGGATCGATCTGTGATGGTCCAGGGGCCCGAGACTGGGCAGGAACGCCCGTTGTGAAACAATGGCGGCGCCTGGATTTCAGGGCGCGGCGGTACCGACAGCGCTATGCTCAGGTCGGGCGTGTCCTCCTACAGGCGGATTTTGGAACAACATCGAAAATGTTCAAACACATATACTGAAAACAATAGTCGAAGAATCGTCCCTGGACTATTCTTAGCCTATTTTTGAATCTTCCTCCTGTAGAGGGACATGCCCGACTTAACGCTACTCTCCGGACCTCATCCTGGGGTGCGTTCTGACCGAGATTTCGAGGCGGATCGGATCCAGCGGTGGCGACGAGGGCATCACAGGAGGCCCCAAAAACCTGTCGGGAGCAGAGGAGGAGCGCCAGGACCCTCTGGTCGGAGGTCTGAGTTGGGGGCGGTCTGATCTTCCCCAGGGGTGGGGGGTGGGGTGCGGGGCTCGCCCGGAGGCTTCGAGGGCGGCGGCGGCGGCCCGGGCATACCGGGGATCGGGAGCGGGGGCGAGGAAGAGGAGGATTCCTCTCGCCCTGGGTGAGCGAGTCAAGCCATAGACCCATGGACTATTCACGGAGGGGGGGAGGAGGAAGAGGAGGAGAGCGACACTGGCCAGCAAGGCAGGGGCGAACGAGGGAAGGACAACCCGATCCGAGAAACGACACGAGAGAACCGAAGCAAGCGAGAAGAGGCACCGCTGCGCTTCACGAGGGCTGTCTCCTCATATAGACAGGAGTGAAACGACCCTGCAGGAGTAAGAGTACAGCCATCATACTGCCATAAAGGAGAGCTGAGTAAGGAACTGAAATGCTTTTCTGGCCACGGCGAGCCTCGGCCACGAACAGGCTCCACGACCTAGATCTGAGGAACCGGCCCGAAAAGCATGCCCTCCCAAGCCCAACGTGGGCCTTGTTTCAGCGTTCTGACAGTAACATACAAAAGTGGTTGAGGAGGTGGTTGAGGAGAGGGTGGCAGAGGGGAGGGAGCAGGAGGAGAAGGAGGAGGACGACGAGGAGGAGGAGGAGAAGGACGAGGACGAGAAGGATGAGAAGGAGGAGGAAGAGGAGGAGGAAGAGGAGGAAGAGGAGGAGGAAGAGGAGGAGGAGGACACGGGGGAACAGAGAGACGGCAAGGGAGCACCAGAGGTACCACGGACACAGCGCCTGGCAAGGATGGCCGCGTCGGCAGGGTCAGTAGTTGCCCCGCGAACAAAACGCGAGGAAAGCGAGGCAAGGTGGCAGGGGCATGCACCCTGCAGCAGTACTCGGCGGCGCGCACAATGTGGGTGGGGCGAGCGGGGCGGCCTTCGAAGAAGGCAGGAGGCATTCTCGGAAGGCGGAGGCCTCATCAGAAGCCCCCACTGCTTCTTAGGAAACCTTCTCAGATGCCTTCAGGGCTTTGTGAGAGCACCCACCTTCGAAGACCCCCCCCGCCGTCTTAGAAGGCCGCCACCCTCGCGCCACCCTCTCGTGCGCGCCGCCTGCGTAAGTACCTAGAGTACCTGGCCAAGTGAATTCCAAAGCTACCTGCAAGGGCGTCGCGGCGCTCAGAAGGGGTCGAAGTGCTTGTTCGTCAAGAGCATGGAGTGGCAGTACTTCGTCTCCGCGCAAGTCTTTTTGGGGTAGCGCTCGTTCTCCACCTCACGCCACGAGTATACATGTTTATGAATCTAGCGATGCTCACACATATATATATATATACGAACACACATATACATATATATATATGTATATTTATATATACAAGACTGCACTGGCACTGCGCGCCATGCACATTGATCCTTTGAGTTCTGCACGCAAGCGGAATGCGTACGTGCGTACATGCGCGCATGCATGTATACACGCGCACGTGCATGCACGTTCCGTATAACAGTCTAGGTGTATAGAATATAATAACATTGTTGTATGTGTGTATACAGCGTACATCTGTACATATACATTTATGTGTGTAAGGTATGAACATGCATATGCAACTCGTACGGGGCATCCTCGGGCATCTTCGCTGCATGCCACGAGACCCTCAACGACTGGGTCATAATGTGGAATGTCATGGGAGCAAAATCAATGAATGTTTGCTTTCGGATCCATCGTGGGGGTGTTTTCGGGGCCCTCGTGGGCCGTTCTGGCGCCTTCATGGGCCGTCCTGGGGCCTTCTTGGGCCGTCTTGGGGAGCTTGGGCCCGCTGGAGCCCCCTTTGGACCCATCTTGGGCACTTCCGGGGACCTCCCATGGCCCTTTTGGGTCTGTGCTGGGAGCCCTTGGGGGGCCTCTTGGTTCCATTATGGGCTGTCTTGGGGCTCTCGTGGGCGATCGTGGGGCCCGGCTCGGCCGTCTTGAAGCTTTCTTGGGGGCCTTTTGGGGCGTCTGGAGGCGATCTCGGGGGCTTTGAAACCGTCTTGAAAGCTGATGAAATCCGAAAGGCGAATATGCTAAAATTGTAAGTTTTACGAAGGGAATGGGACGATGTTTGTGCTTTGAAGGCCCCTTGGAAAGCTTTTTGGGGTGCCTTGGGGGTCTTTATGTTGGCATTCGGAAACATCGTGGGGGTGTTTTCGGGGCCCTCGTGGGCCGTTTTGGCGCCTTCATGGGCCGTCCTGGGGCCTTCTTGGGCCGTCTTGGGGAGCTTGGGCCCGCTGGAGCCCCCTTTGGACCCATCTTGGGCACTTCCGGGGACCTCCCATGGCCCTTTTGGGTCTGTGCTGGGAGCCCTTGGGGGGCCTCTTGGTTCCATTATGGGCTGTCTTGGGGCTCTCGTGGGCGATCGTGGGGCCGGGCTCGGCCGTCTTGAAGCTTTCTTGGGGGCCTTTTGGGCGTCTTGAGGCGATCTCGGGAGCTTTGAAACCGTCTTGAAAGCTGATGAAATCCGAAAGGCGAATATGCTAAAATTGTGAATTTTACGATGGGGATTGGACGATTTTTGTCCTTTGAAGGCCCCTTGGGAAGCTTTTTGGGGTGCCTTGGGGGTCTTTATGTTGGCATTCGGAAACATCGTGGGGGTGTTTTCGGGGCCCTCGTGGGCCGTTTTGGCGCCTTCATGGGCCGTCCTGGGGCCTTCTTGGGCCGTCTTGGGGAGCTTGGGCCCGCTGGAGCCCCCTTTGGACCCATCTTGGGCACTTCCGGGGACCTCCCATGGCCCTTTTGGGTCTGTGCTCGGAGCCCTTGGGGGGCCTCTTGGTTCCATTATGGGCTGTCTTGGGGCTCTCGTGGGCGATCGTGGGGCCCGGCTCGGCCGTCTTGAAGCTTTCTTGGGGGCCTTCTGGGGCGTCTGGAGGCAATCTCGGGGACTTTGAATACGTCTTGAAAGCTGATAAAATCCTAAAGGCGAATAGGCAAGAATTATAAGTTTTACGGAGGGGATGGGACGATTTTTGTTCTTTGAAGGCCCCTTGGAAAGCTTTTTGGGGTGCCTTGGAGGTCTTTGGGGCCGTCCTGACGCAATTGGAGTCCCTCTTGGAGCGCTCTTGTGCTGTTTGGGGCCTCCCTTGAGCCTTTCTGATGACCCCTCGGATCGCTCTGGGTCTGCTGGCAAGGCGTTCGTGGAGACCCGGAAAGCCGGGTGACCTTTTCCAAGGACGTCCAAGGGAGCCCGAGAACCCCAAATCACGGGGGTCCAGATTTTTTTGGGGGGGAGGGAGGGTTTCCCCCCCCCCCCGGGCTTGCAAAAATATAGGAACAGGAATATGTATACGTGTATACATAGATGTGTTTCGCACCATAAATTGCATCATATCGATAGCACCACAAACGGTGCTAGGAACAACATGTTTGGGGTACGCGCCTACCCTATGTTGTGGAATGTATGGTGTGCAATTCACTTCGACCGTCTTGAAGCTGTCCTCTCCACTGCTCGTGCAAACATCCCACCCTCCCACCCGCAACTTGGTCGCAAGACCTCTTGAGACAAGACCGTGACGGTAGGTGCCACATGGCACTTGGCCACGACACCGACGCCGACGACGACAGCGACAACGACGACGACGGCGCCGCCGACATCGACTACGACGACACCGACGACGTCGCCAACAACTCCGGCGACGACAACGACGACGCCGACGACACCGACGACGACGACGACGACGCCGAAGACGACGACGAGGGAGGTGGGAGGACGACAACGACGACAACGACGACAACGACGACAACGAGGGAGGAGGGAGGACGGCGACGACGCGAACGACGAAGAAGGAGGAAGGACGGCGACGCCGACGACGACAACGACGAGGGAGGAGGGAAGACGACGACGAGACGACGACGACGACGACGACGACGACGCGACGAAATAGGAGGGACGACGACGAGACGCCGACGACGGACGACGACGACGACGAGGGAGGGAGGAGGAAGGACGACCACGGCGACAACGACGACGGAAACGACCACGACGCCAAAGAGGACGACGACGACGAACACGAGGAAAGACAGAGGACGACGTAGGCGACGAAGACGACGACGACGCGGGAGGAGGGAGGACGGCGACGACGACGACGACGACGCAAGAGCGCGCGCGCACGCTTTTGTTGAAAATCATTGTTGCGAAACCTTGGGTTTTTGTAGGTTTTTGGGACGCGCGATTTCGAAATCCTTCCGAAACCGATGGGTTTGGAAGGATTTCGGCGTACGCGCGCGACGACGCGCGCGTCTGCACTGCGTCCAATTTTTTGCAGAGGATTCTCGCGACGGCACACGCGCAAGGGCGTTCGACAGATTTCGACATGCGCGCGCGCGACGCCCGTTTGGTAGCATGTTGCGAAAATCTGGAAAAACCTACGGTGTTCTTAAGATTTCGCAAGAGCTCGCGCGGAAGCTTTTTTAGCACATCAGTGTTGCGAAACCCTGTGTTTATGTATGTTTTTTGGAAACTCGATGGCGAAATCCTTCCCGCACCGAAGGTTTTTGAAGGATTTCGGCATTCGCGCGCGACGACGCGCGCGTGCACTTCGTCTCATTTTTTGCAAGGGGTTCGCGAAAAAGTCTTATGCTAGAACAAAAAATGTCACCGCACAGTGTTTTTTGTACAAGGGTCAGGGGGGGGGGAAACCGGCCTAGCTGGGATGATATGATTTCATAATTAGGATGGACGAGTGTGCAGAATATATATATATATATAGATATATGAAATTATTCTATCCCAGGGGGAAGCGTTAAGTCAGTCCGGGGAGGGGGTAGAGTCTATTCTCTTTTTAGAAAGGAGAATATATGCTGTGAAAACAATTTCTGTTCGCAGTGAGTTGTCCACTCCACTGCTCGCGCAAACATCCCATCCACCCACCCGCAACTTGGTTTGCAAAATCTCTTGAGACCGTGACGGTGGGTACCACATGGCACTTGGCAACAACAGCGACGCCGACGACGACAGCGACAACGACGATGACGACGCCGCCGACAACGACTACGACGACACCGACGACATCTCCAACGACTTCGACGACGCCGACAACGACGACGACGACGACGACACCGACGACGACGACGACACCGACGCCGACGACGACGACAACGACGACGAGGATGACGACGCCGACGACGACGATAACGACGGCACCGGCGACGACGACGACGTCAACGACGCCGACGATGACGACGACGACGACGACGACGGCGGCGACGACGACGACGCCGACGTCGACGACGACGAAGACGACACCGACGCCGACGCCGACGACGACGACGAAGACGACGACGACGTCGCCAACGAAGACAACGAGGAAGGAGGGAGGACGACGACGGCGACAACGACGACAACGACGAGGGAGGAGGGAGGACGGCGACGACGCGAACGACGAAGAAGGAGGAAGGACGGCGACGCCGACGACGGCAACGACGAGGGAGGAGGGAAGACGACGACGACGACAACGACGACGACGACGACGACGTGACGAAATAGGAGGGACCGACGACGAGACGCCGACGACGGACGACGACGACGACGTGGGAGGAGGAGGACGGACGACCACGGCGACAACGACGACGGAAACGACCACGACGCCAAAGAGGACGACGACGACGAACACGAGAAAAGACAGAGGACGACGTAGGCGACGACGACGACGACGCGGAAGGAGGGAAGACGGCAACGACGACGACGACGACGACGACGACGCAAAAGCGCGCGCGCACGCTTTTGTTGAAAATCCGTGTTGCGAAACCTAAGGTTTTTGTAGGTTTTTGGGACGCGCGATTTCGAAATCCTTCCGAAACCGATGTGTTTTGAAGGTTGTCGGCATACGTCCGCGACGACGCGCGCGTCTGCATTTCGTCCATATTTTGCAGAGGATTCTCGGGACGGCACACGCGCAAGGGCGTTCGACAGATTTCGACATGCGCGCGCGCGAAGCCCGTTTGGTAGCATGTTGCGAAAATCTGGAAAAATCTTCGGTGTTCTTAAGATTTCGCAAGAGCTCGCGCGGAAGCTTTTTTAGCAAATCAGTGTTGCGAAACCCTGTGTTTATGTATGTTTTTTGGAAACTCGATGGCGAAATCCGTCCCGCACAGAAGGTTTTTGAAGGATTTCGGCATGCGCGCGCGACGACGCGCGCGTGCGCACTTCGTCCCATTTTTTCCTAGGGATTCGCGACAAAATGTTATGTTAGAACAAAAAATGTCACCGCATAGTTTTTTTTTCAAAGGGAACCTCAGAGGG